TATTTCACATATAGGAATTAACAAACAAACCAAGTAAGCAATGTGTGAGCTCATTTAATGTAAAATGCATGTTGTCGTGAGGTGTTTGAGTGATATGAGCTATGAATGATCATCTAGAAGCTAAGATAACATGTATATAAGCTAGATAGAAGGCATAGGACGTTCATGAGCTTAAGAAAACATGTATGAGCTAGAAAATAGATGCATGCATGCAAATGAGCTAAAGAAACATGGATTTAAATCTAGTGAGCTAATGTAAACATAACACGAGCTAGAATAACATGTCATGAGTTAATGAATGAATGAATATATGCTGCCATGATATGTAAATGATATGCAAACATAATAAATGAATATAAAACATATGTAAGACATAATATAAAGCTAAGTAAAGATGTGAAAACATATGTTATGCGTGAAAATCATATAATATGCAAGTGAATGATAACATATGATTATTCAAGCATAGTTTAAAATGAAAATGTATGCTCATAATAATATATATAGTATATAAATGAGTAAATATAATATAAAGTAAGAAAGAAACCCCTTAGATTGATTTTGATGGATCTTCAATGATGTGAGTATGTCATGCAAAAAGTTGGTGCTAGACAGGATCACATCAAAATAAGTGCCTAAACTATACCGTTTTCACGATAGGTGTCAACAATATTTTTTGAATGATCTCAGTGCCTAACGTTACAAACATATTACTTTAGGTGCTCGGGCCGTAACTAACGATAGTTTTCTCCATTAAGTGCCACGTGCCACATTCTGGTAATTTTGTTTTTTTAATTAAAAAAAATATCATATTTAAAAAACACCAATTTCTCTTAAATTACAAAAAGAGAAATCGAATTTATAAAAATCCTAAATCTTAACCCTAACCTGTCGTCATCGCATTTTTCGGACACAATCATCGTCGTCGACTTAGTCCCTATCATCCTTCTAGTTATACGATGTTGTAGTTGTCATCGATTGGCTGTCAGGATCGCGTGGGATTGCGATTTTCATCCTAGGATTTGTTGGTACAAAACGCTGATTGGCCATCGATCGACAGTTGATCAGTCACGGTTTCATAGGGGCATTAATCGTCGGGGTAGGTGAGGTCAGGTGGAGCTTCGTAGATGGTAAAGGGCGGTGACCGACATGGGTTTAGACATTGAAATGAAGGTTTTCAAAGTTTGGGGGCTATTTTGAAATCTTTGTGTGTTTTTTAAAAATATATAATTTTAATTTTTAAATTTAAATAAAGTTTTTAAAATTACCAGAATGTGATACGTGTCACTTAACAGAAAAAATTAATTACGCTTACGATTTGGATACCTAAAGTAATAATATTTATAATATTAGATACTGAGATCATTTAAAATATATTGTAATCACCTATTCATGAAAAATGTTATAGTTTTAGCACTTATTTTATAATTAAGCCAATATTTTTTTATATATTTAAATCAACTCGTTTAAATTTTTAGTTGAAACAAAAACTTATCTGATCCAAATAAAAATAAGTAGCTTTAATTAATATATTAAAAATATAGATTTATTTTTTTAAACAAAATCAATTCAGAATATATTTTTAAAATTTTTGAATTAAATTTATGTGTCCGAGGTTGAACAAAGTCGGATTTCAATAAAGAAGCAGCAGAAATGATTTTCTGCCATTGAAAAAAATAAAATAAAAATCCTAACCTTATGTTCTTGGGGACAATTAATTGCAATAAAATAAGGGGTGTTTGGATTGGGGAATGTGGGATTCCCATGGGAATGGAATCCACATTCCCCCGTTTGGTTAGCCCGGGAATCCTATTCCCGGTAATGTAAGATTACCAATAGTGGATTTTTTGGGGTATATTACCGGGAATGTCATTACCTCCCTTTCCTTAGGTATTGTTGGATTACCGGCGTTTGGACTAAAATGCCCTTAAATTTTTATTTTTTTCAAAATATTTATTCTGTCATCGAATAATAAAAATTTTACGAATGTTAAATTACAAATTTATCCTTAAATTATTTTAGATTACAAAAAAAAATCTATAATTAAAATTTTATATAAAGTTCAGGGGTGTTTGGATTGGGGAATGTGGGATTCCCATGGGAATGGAATCCACATTCCCCGTTGGTTAGCCCGGGAATCCTATTCCCGGAATGTAAGATTACCAATAGTGGATTTTTTGGGGTATATACCGGGAATGTCATTACCTCCCTTTCCTTAGGTATTGTTGGATTACCGGCGTTTTGGACTAAAATGCCCTTAAATTTTTTTTTTTCAAAATATATTTATTCTGTCATCGAATAATAAAAATTTTACGAATGTTAAATTACAAATTTATCCTTAAATTATTTTAGATTTACAAAAAAAAATCTATAATTAAAATTTTATATAAAGTTCAAGGGTTTAAATAAAATTTTACCCTTTCATTAAACTTTTTTTATTTTTAATTTTGTAAAAAATATATAAATATTATGAATTTAATTTTTTTAAAGAAAATATATAAATATTTTCCAACTTGTAATATTACACAAATATATAATTAAGACAATTTGGTCAAATATACATTCCAATAATCTTTTATTCATTTAACCAAACACGGTAATCTTACATTCCTGCTAAGCCAACCAAACACAAAATACAACATTCCCAGTAATGCTATTCCTTGGTAATCTTACATTCCCACTGGTAATCTTATATTCCGTGAACCAAACGCACAAGGGTTTAAATAAATTTTACCCTTTCATTAAACTTTTTTTTATTTTTAATTTTGTAAAAAATATATAAATTATGAATTTAATTTTTTTAAAGAAATATATAAATATTTTCCAACTTGTAATATTACACAAATATATTAAGACAATTTGGTCAATATACATTCCAATAATCTTTTATTCATTTAACCAAACACGGTAATCTTACATTCCTGCTAAGCCAACCAAACACAAAATACAACATTCCCAGTAATGCTATTCCTTGGTAATCTTACATTCCCACTGGTAATCTTATATTCCGTGAACCAAACGCACCCTAAGGGTAGACTAGTACTCATAAAGGACACTTTTGCTTCTCTCCAGGGAAATAGATTTGATCGGCTGAGTTGCCTATTTTTTTTTAATCTTTATTATTTTTTTGAGCATTGATAACTGGTAAAATTTTGGGTAAACTCAAGTTCAGTACTAAAATTATTACTTTTGTTTCTGTTTTAGTATCCAAATTTTATTTTGTTTCAAAATCATACCTAATTTTAACTTATGTTTCAGTTTGATACCCGTTGTTAAAAGTTTAACGGTGATGTTGACATATCACTATAAGATATTGTCACATCATTATTAAAAAAATAAATAATATCACGTTAGCAGTTCTAATAAATTTTTAACATTATTAAAAAAATAGTATCATGTTAGCAGTTCTGATAAATTTTTTAACAGTAGAGTACCAAATTAAAATATAAATTAAACGTTATGTATGATTTAAAAAAAATAAAATTTAGATATCAAAATAGAAAAAAAGTAATAGTTTAAATTCTAAACGTGTAATTTATTCCTAAAATTTTTAGATAACGTGTTAAAAAAATCGGTTATACAAAGTGATTAAAAAATTATATTCTCAAATAGAGTTTTTGTTGTAATACCCATTAGAAGCCGCCTCGTTTATATGTTGTTTTCTTTATGTTTCATGCATGCACAATAACATTGATAGCTAGTGATATTTTAAAAGTCATCGAGTAATTAGGACATCTTTTAAAATTTATCTTATAATCCATAAATAATATAATAAATACTTTATTTGAAAAAAAATAATTTTTTTTTATCGCTCAAATTTTTTCTCTCAACATATTATTAGAATAATTTTGCCTTTGATAACCTTTATCGAGTTAAAACATAAATTAATGTGTTAAGACGTGAAAATTCAGCATAAATATATATGAGAGGAGATTCATTGTAAAATTAAAATAAGTATACACATTTTATATAATATTATATAAATTAATATTTAAATAATTTAATTGCATATTTTATCTACATGTATTACGTTGAATATATATATATATATATATATATTTAAAAAGACGTTTGGTTCATAAAAGAATCATTATAAAATAATTTTTTTTTTCATATTACTACGTCTTGATACACTCTCATCTCCGATGCAACTCCAGGTTACACTCTCATCGGAAACATGTTAAAAATATAGTTTGACATAATATATAAATTGTTTACAATCCCTTATAATGAGGCTAAGACTTTTGAAGGTACCAATCGTATTAATATTCAATTGCTTGTATTTATATATTCTCAAATTTGATATATTTTTATATAAGTGTTTTTAAAGAAAATAATCGAATAGCTTATAAATGTGAAACTTTGATCGTTAGAAAAATGTTTTGGTGATCGTATTAACAGAGGAAGAGGGTGAGAGTGACGAGAAAGAAGATGATGATGATAATGTTGAAGAGGGAGATAACGTCGAACAACCAATTTAGGAGAACAAACAATTTGAAACAAGAACAATATAAATTTGAATATATCTCATCATTTTCTTGCCAGACTTATATATAATCAGCGTCGGTAAACTTGCATAATATGATATATAAATATAAAATCAAATTTTACAAAAAAAAATATATATATAAATATTTTTCTATGTTTTTGTTTTATAGTCAGCCAAAGCATGCAAATTGCGTTAATCAAACGCACCGCCCAGAACCACACTTCTTCTATGTTTTTGTTTTCTCTTCGTCTTTTCATTTTCAGAAGATTCCTTTGTCATTTTCATTTTTTTAATTATAATTTTAGTAACTTATATTTTATAGGTTTCTCCAAACAATATAAAGTTTTTTTTATTCTTCTTAATTTATTTAATAATATATTTATGAAATATCCATTTTATATAATGTTCTCTTAATTTTCAGTAGGTCTGATCAGATACAAAAATGTGCTCTTGTTCATAAATTATTAGAGTGGAGTGCGTTTAAAATGGCTTCTCAAAGCAACCAAAACCCTCAAACTAGAGTTCCACTAGGAATCGAGGCATCCTTTACTATCATTACAATACCACTCTTTATGAAATATCCATATGTTTCCTTTGAAGCTTCTTGCACATTGTCGTTGTTAATGATCTGAAATTGCACCCACCATTCATCTCTTTTCCCAACGAGATGGGTTTAATTAATGGAGTAGAAAAAAAAACAGTAAGCTTCACATCATCGCCAATTCGAGCATTCTTGTCAATAATGGTTCCTTTGATGTACGAATTCTTTCCTATACCAATTGGAACGCTCCCCTTTTCAGCTAGAAACTTTCTGTCAGTCTCAGTCTGCAGGAAGAAGAAGACAATGACGATATTAATACAGATTATCACCAATGAAAAATGTGCAACTAAAAAACTTTGAGGGTATACTATAGTACCTCGTAATAATCTGCTCCCATCAGTAAGGTATCCTCTATGCTTGTACCCTCTGAAATGCAAGATCGAAGACCAACAACAGAGTGGTGAATTCTGCAGTTTTGCCATCGATCAACCCAAGTATTCAAATTTCCATTTTAATACATTGGCCAATTGAAAAAACTAAGCAGATTATCCCCAAGGAACAAATCTTAACAACACAGCCAATAACATTGTTTGAAACATCAGCATCCAACAATTTGGATGGAGGCAAATAACGAGGCTGTGTGTAGATGGGAGATGAACAATCATAGGAATTGGGAACATTACAAGTATCTAAGTTTTTCTATCTGTTGCGGAAGACGGCTATCGGATAGAGAAAAATCGCAACTGATAATTTGAGAAAATAAAAATTAAGATAAAAGAGACACAAAATTTACGTGAAAAAACCCCTAAATAATATAGGGTAAAAACCACGGGCAACGGTAGAAGAATTTCACTATGAGAAAATAAGAATTACAACTTCTCTCGATCTACCAAGGAGAAAACAATGATAATTCTCTCTTGATAAAAAGGAGAAAACATCTCTCAAGAAACTCTCTAAATTCTCTCTAGTATGGGAAGAAAGCTATAATGCTTTGGGATGGTTTTGAAGCTAAATGAGCTAGGGTATTTATAGTTGAAGCTTAAAAAATAATCTTATAAATACCCTAAATTGCAATGACTAAATTTTGTAATTTACCCATTTAATTTTCAACCATTTTTCACCTAATTTTGACATCGAAAAATTCGGTGCCTACCTCCCTTTTTTTTGACTAAATTAATGCCCTTTTTTGGTGCATTTCAACAATCTCCCACTTGAAGATTTGATCGGAACAATCATATCTTCACACTATTTTTTCTACCTTGTACCATCATGTTGCTTACATTTCTGACAGGCCACATGAGGATCGACACCAAGTATATTTATCGGTATTGATAGCATTTTTCATGAAATCTGTTATGTTGTCTTTGGTATGGATTTTCTGCATATCTACCGTCCCTTCTTCCACCTTTTCACGAATGAAATGGTACTGAACTCGTATGTGCTTTGTCATTGAATGGAATGTTGGATTCCTTGCTAAATGCAAGGCGCTTTGACTGTCACAAAATAAAGAGACATACTCTTGATTGTGCCCAAGCTCCTCCAATAGCATCTTCAACCAGATTGTTTCTTTACTGGCTTGTGTAGCTGCTACATATTTTGTCTCTGTTGTGGATGTAGCCACAACTTATTGCAATTTTGAAACCCATCTTACAGCTCCACCAATAACTTTGAACACATATCCTGTAGTAGATTTGCTTTTATCCAAATCCCCTGCATAGTCAGAATCGACATATCCATTGATAAGTAAGTTTGATCCTCCATAACATAATGCAATATTTGAGGTCCCTTTGATATATCTCAGGATCCTCTTTATTGTATTTCAATGCTCTTTGCCTGGATTCGCCATGTACTAACTAACCACTCCCACTGCTTGTGCAATGTCTGGTCTTGTGCATATCATAGCGAACATTAAACTTTCCACTGTTGCTGCACACGGTACTCGAGACATCTTCATCCTCTCTTCTTCACTGTTAGGACTCATATTGGAGGATAATTTGAAGTTAATAGGAAGAGGGGTAGAAATTGGCTTACAATATTGCATGTTGAATCGTGACAATATCTTCTTCAAATAATTCTTTTGTGAAAGCCAAATCTTCCTATTACTTCTGTCTCGGTGAATTTGCATCCCTAGAATCTTGTTTGGTGATCCCAAGTCCTTCATTTCAAATTCCCTAGCCAGTTGTGCCTTCAATTCTTCAATATGATCTTTGTTGGGTCCTGCAAACAACATGTCATCCACATACAACAACAATATAACAAAATCGTTATCATCAGACCTCTTGAAATAAGCACAAGGGTCTGCATTAAGTCTGTTGTATCCAAGGCACATAATGAAAGAATCAAATCTCTTATACCAACACCTCGGCGCCTGCTTTAGACCGTACAAAGATTTGTTCAATCTGCAAACCAAGTTCTTATTTTCTTTTTCATCAAAACCTTCAGGCTGGAGCATATAAATCTCTTCTTCAAGATTTCCATGAAGAAAAGTTGTTTTAACATCTAGCTGCTCTAGATGTAAGTTCAATGTAGCACACATTGCCAAAACTACTCGAACTATTGTTAGTCGAACCTCATGAGAAATTATTTCATTGAAATCAATACCTTCTTTTTGAGCATGTCCTTTGACCACTAGTCTTGCACGATACCTCTCAACTTGATGATCACCATTTCGCTTGATTTTGAAAACCCATTTGTTACCAATTGGATTCCTTCCTTGTGGTAGTGGCACAAGGTCCCATGTATTATTTTTATGAAGGGCTTCGATTTCTCCTTGCATCACCATAATCCATAGTGAAGCATCTGAGCTGTTTATTACCTCCTGGTATGTTGATGACTCACCGTCCTCTGTTAAAAGACAATATGCAATATTACCTTCTATAACATAATCCGAGTGTCAATTGGGACATCTTCTCACACAATCTGATTGACGAGTTGTTGGAGCTTTAGAAGTCTCTGGTTCTTGTTCATCATGTGCTGGTTCTGCTTCAGAAGAATCTCCTAGTTCAACCTCCTTTTCAACATGTATCTGTGTAGTCTCTAACTTTTCAACGCTATCATCGTCTTCTTTTCTTTGTAGTTTATCTTCTACAAAGATAACATCCCTGCTAATGATCACTTTGTGGGCAGTGGGATCGCACAAGCGATACCCTTTTACTCCATCAACATATCCCAAGAATTTGCATTTACTGGATTTTGGATCCAGCTTTGAGATTTCTTGGGAGTTGTACATCACGTACACAATACTTTCAAATACATGGAGGTTTGAATAATCAGCTAGTTTACCAGTCCACATCTCCATTGGTGTCTTCAACTCTATTACAGTTGATGGAGCTCAATTAACCAAAAATAACAGGCGGTATTGACTGCTTCTGCCCAGAATAATTTTTCTAGGCATGCATCCCTCAACATTGCTCTTGTTCTTTCTAACAAGGTTCTCTTCATCCACTCTGCCACTCCATTTTGTTGAGGAGTGTTTGCCACTGTGAACTGTCTTTTGATGCATTCTTTCCTGCAAAAGTCATCAAATTCTTCACTTGTATATTCTCCTCCATTATCTGTTCTGAAACACTTAATCTTATTTCCAGAATCAAGTTCCACCCGCGTTTTGAAGTTTTTGGGAGTTGTACATCACATACACAATACTTCCAAATACATGGAGGTTTGAATAATCAGCTGGTTTACCAGTCCACATCTTCATTGGTGTCTTTATCTCTATTGCAGTTGATGGAGCTCGATTCACCAAATAACAGGCGGTATTGACTGCTTCTGCCCAGAATGATTTTTCTAGGCCTGCATCCCTCAACATTGCTCTTTTTCTTTCTAACAAGGTTCTGTTCATCCGCTCTGCCACTCCATTTTGTTGAGGAGTGTTTGCCACTGTGAACTGTCTTTTGATGTCTTCTTTCATGCAAAAGTCATCAAATTCTTCACTTGTATATTCTCCTTCTATTATCTATTCTGAAACACTTGATCTTATTTCCATAATCAAGTTCCACCCGCGCTTTGAAGTTTTTGAAAGTGGAAAACACATCTGACTTCTTCTTAATAGGGTACACCCAACATCTCTTGGAGTAGTCATAAATAAATGAGACAAAGTATTTTGCTTCGCCTAGGGATGTAACTGGTTCTTGCCATACGTTAGAACGAACCAATTCTAGAACACTTTTTCCTCTAGAATTTAACGTGTTAAATTTCAACTGGTGCAGCTTACTTGTTATGCAATGCTCACACAAAGTAAGTGATACATTTGTTAAGCCTAGAAGTAGCTTTTGCTCCACAAGGACTTTCATTCCTTGTTCTGAAATGTGTCCAAGTTTCTGATTCCATAACATTGCAGAATCTGAACTACATGAGGCAACAGAGGCTTTTGTTTCTGACAAAGTCTCTCCCTTCAGCATGTACAAGTTTGCAACGATCGTTTTGCCTTTCAGCACCACAAGTGCTCCATGTAACACCTTCATGATTCCTTTACGTGTTTCAATCTTGCTTGCATTATTATCCAATAATCCGTAGGATGATACATTTTTCTTCAAGCCTTTCACGTGTCGTACATCTCGAACAACTTTAATTGTTCCATCATACATCTTCAATTTGATGGCTCCTACACCAATGATCTCTAAGGCATGATCATCACAACTATACACAGATCCTCCTGAGACAGGTTCATAATGATGGAACCATTCTCTTCTTGAGGTCATGTGATATGTTTCTCCCGAATCAATGAGCCATATATATGCATATCTCTTTCTACCTTCCACGGTGATTGACGCTTCACAACATAGAGCATCTCCATCATCTGAAGTGTTTGCGGTATTGCCTTATGGATTGGAGTTTTTATTTAGACTCCAATAATCCTTCTTCAAGTGACCCTTCTTTCCACAGTTGTAACACTTTAAATTCTTCTTGCTCCTCTACTTCGATTTACAATGTTTGTGACTGCTACTTTGGCCACGCTCTGTTGATCTCCCTCTCATCGTTGTCAACGCTTCTGTTTGTTGCAGATTTACTTGTCTGTCTTCCTTGTTCTTGCGCCGATTTTCTTCTTGGAGAACAACAATTGCAACGTCATCGAAGACTAGACTGGTGACATTACTGTTTGTCAAGTTGATGATGAGTTGATCATACGAATCAGGTAGACTTTGAAGTAGAAGTTCAACACATTCTTGTTCTCCTATTGTATATCTTAAGGATGTAAGCTGAGAAAATAACGTGTTCAGTGTATTTAAGTGCTCCGTCACTGAACTAGATTATGGCATACAGAGAGTGTATAATTTTCTCTTAAGGAAAATTTTATTATGCAACGATGTGGCCTCGTACAGTTTGGTGAGATGATCTCATATCTCCTTAGCTGTCTTTTTCTCCTCGATGCTTGACAATACTTCATCTGCTAATTGATAGGGAAGCGGTGGCGGGTTGATGAACGTTGCTCTTGTTGAAGAATCAAACCTAGAAAAGATTTAGACTTGATGAAGAACAATAAGGGATGAATGGGGAAGGTGGTGGCAATAGATAAGGTTCTTTAGGGTTTCTCTTTGGTGATGGAAACAAGATAAAAAATAAGATTAAAACAAGATAAATGAATTGCAAATAAAATAAGATAACCAAGAAATCAAAATATCTCCCTTATGAAGGTGAATGATAAAGATAATTGATGACGTGGATGGATATGTGGAAAATCGATGGATAATGT